CCCTATGTAGCGCAACGACGCCTACGACACAACGACACGAGCATGTACAAGTCTAAATACAGCTTAACGGAAGAACAGCTACCGCCATGATCGACAGCGGAGCCTAAGGAAACTTCATATCACTAAGAACGGTGAATGAAAGAAAGATAACCTGGAAAAGAAAAGCAGCCGAAGACTGCTACGAACTTAGCACCGTTGAAGGAGAATAAGTCTAGTACGGCGGAGGACGCATTGCTATGGAGACAGCGCAACTCCCTTTGCAGATCCATGGCCGGAATGAGCGACTGAACTTCGATATTACGGAGATAGGAGACAAGTACGATGTCATCCTTGGAAGACCATGGTTATACGACAGTAACCCACGGATAGATTGGAGAACAGGCTAACTCCATTGGGACCAGGATTCAGTCACTGAGAAGCAACCACGGAACGGTGCCTTAAACGAACCTCTTAAGACTCCTGAAGCGAAGAGATTTCTAGCATACCTACGGATAAAGGATGCAAACGCCAGGACGTTATCAGCAATAGACATCGGCAAGGAAGACCGACTTCTGTCTATCCTAGAAGAATACCGGCAATACTAGAAGCTATTCGCCGAAGAACTCGAGACCGGACTCCCGGAACACAGCAACTACGACCACGAGATACCCCTTAAGGAAGGGAAGGAGCCAAAGCTAGAAGCAATCTACGGACTCAACTAGAAAGAAATGGAAGCACTCGACGCTTACCTTAAAGAAAATCTATAGAAGGGATATATCAGACCCTCTACATCACTAGCGGGATACCTAATCCTGTTCGTACTAAAAAAGAACGGCAAACTACGACTCTGCGTCGACTACCGGAAACTTAACGACATTACGATCAAGAACTGCTACCCACTACCGCTCATCTCCGAACTACGAGACCTGTTGCACGGAGCACAGTGGTTTACAGCACTCGACCTAAAAGGAGCCTATAACCTGATCCGGATGAAATCAGGTGAAGAATGGAAGACAGCGTTTCGAACACGCCGAGGACATTACGAGTACCTTGTGATGCCCTTCGGACTTACCAACGCACCCGCGACATTCCAGACGATGATCAACCACGTCTTACGAGAATTTCTAGATGTGTTCGTCGTAGTTTACCTCGACGATATCCTAATCTTCTCTAAGACTCTGGAAGACTACAAAAAACACGTATACTAAGTACTGTGGAAACTGCAAGACGCTAAACTCCTAGTGGAACCCGAGAAGAGCAAGTTTCACGCTAAAGAAGTCGAATTCCTAGGTTTTACGATAGCCCCAGGAATCCTCAAAATGTCTAAAGACAAAATCGCAGCAGTACGAGACTGGCCTATACTACAGAACGTTAAGGACGTACAATCCTTTATTGGATATGTGAACTACTACCGACGGTTCCTAGAAGGGTACTTAGACAAAAACGACCCTTTTACGAGACTCTCGAAGAAAGATGTTCCCTGGCAATGGGAAGAAGAACAAGAACAAGCCTTCAACGAGATCAAACAACAAGTCACATCGGAACCAATACTTGTTATACTAAACCCCGAGAAACCATTCGAAGTCGAGACCGACTCCTCAGACTACGCTATAGGAGGACAACTAGGCTAACGAGACGACGAAGGACGACTATACCCTTGCGCCTTCTTCTTACGCAAGTTACACGGCCTAGAACTTAACTACTAGATATACGACAAGGAACTTATGGCAATTATCGAGGCATTCAAAGAATAGAGACCGCAACTCTCAGGAACCAAGTACGAGGTCAAAGTATACACCGACCACAAGAACCTCGCATACTTCACCACATCGAAAGATCTTAACAAACGACAAATTCGATGGTCCGAATTCTTGTCAGAATTCAATTTCAGAATTATCTACCGGAAGGGCAAGGAGAACGGCAGGGCCGACGCCCTCAGCCGACGACCGGACCACGAGGTCTAGGTACCTGAGGAAACCCGAGTTATCCTCAAAACAGACAAAAACGGAGACCTTGTGCCAGCAGCCAGACTCTTAATGATGGCCAGAAGAGACAGTACCAGCACGCCTGGAAGGATGTCTCCTGAAGCCATTAGGGAGATATACTCCGCACCCGCACATGGTCACCAAGGCGTAACCAAAACGTGGAAACGCATCCGTCAACACTACGACAAAACGGCTACACGACAAGAAGTATCTTTAGCGATTAAGGACTGTGAGGTTTGCGTAAAAAGCAAACCCAGCCGACATCAGCCTTATGGAAAGATACAGCCGCTCCCAGTGCCGCAAACCGCATAGGAATCTATCTCGCTGGACTTCGTTACTAAGTTACCTAAGTCCCGAGAACCGATGACCAACGTCCACTACGACAGTGTCCTCGTCATCGTCGACAGACTCACAAAGTACTTATACTTCATTCCGTACATGGAGTCAAGCACTGCAGAAGACCTCGCCTACAAGTTTCTGCAGGTGATCGTAAGCCAACACGGAATGCCGAAGGAAATCGTATCCGACAGAGACAAGCTGTTCACTTCCAAGTTTTGGAGATCCCTGATCTCGCAGCTAGGATCTGACTATAAGATGTCTACCGCTTTCCATCCGCAAACCGATGGCTAGACAGAACGAATCAATCAGATCATGGAAACCTACCTACGCTGCTACGTCAACTATTAGCAAAACAACTGGGTCAACTGCTACCTATGGCCCAGTTCGCTTACAACAGCGTAGTAGGAGAAAGTATAAAAGAATCACCATTCTACTTGAACTACGGATTTAACCCGACAGCCTATGGACAACCCCGACAAGGCCCAACAGCTCTGAAAGCTGTGGCAGATATTAACAAACTTAAGGAAATCCAACGAGATCTTCCTAGAGACCTTGAATTTGTGCGCGAACGCATGCGCAAATACGCTGACAAGACAAGAGTTGAGGGACCAACTCTGAAGGAGGGGGATAGCGTATACCTTCTCCGCCGGAACATCAAAACAAAACGACCAAGCGATAAGTTGGACTTTAAGAAACTTAGACCCTTCGAAATCACGAAGAAGGTATCTAACGTTAACTTCAAACTCGTACTACTAGATACTATGAAGTGTTATCTAGTTTTTCATATTTCACTTCTCGAGCTAGCACCAAAAGGATTACGAACTATGGACCATATCGAAGTCGACCCGGAACAGGACTACGAGGTCGAAAGGATCCTCGATCATATCGATCAGCACGATGACATAGAAATACAATACCTAATCAAGTGGAAAAACTACGGACACGAAGAAAACACATGGGAACCCGCATCAAACTTGGAGCACGCATAAGAGGAACTTTAAGAATACTGGACGCAATGGGAAACACGACAGCACGCCAAAGTCATGCAAAGACCAACATACAACCCTCGCGTCAGAAACCCTCAACCCAAGTTTCGACCAACCAAGAAACCCCAGGGCAACAAAACGTTTCTTCGCCTAGGAATACCTAGCCCTGAGTAGCCGAGGAACCTCCAACACTCCCCGCACCCGCGCCATCCACCAGAGGACCCAAACCCACAAACTCGTCACCAAAACCAAAAAGGGACCAAGGAGGATCATTCCCGAGACCCACTGCCTGGAGGTTACTAACGACGAACCTCTCGTAAGCATCCAAGGCAGGTAGGACTTCGTCGTCCGCCAGGACGCCATCCTCCCTGTCAACCTCCTGCATACCATGCTTAAAAACTTCGGTCTGCCGCTCCCGAACCATCTTACGGACCGTCCGAATCCGTTTCAGACGACCCGCAGCATCCGCTATTTGAACTTGCAAACGAGTAAACTCTTGATGAAGCGCGAATAGCTCCTCACCCGCTTTCTCTTCTTTCTCATCCCACTCCTTTTGCTGAGAGTTCAACTTCTGAACTAGAAGTAAACATTAGCAACCCCCAGAACAGCGAAAACACAAAAACACGACTTACGAGTAGACGCCACGAGGACGCCGTCACAAGGTTTCTTCGCCTCGATGCAAGTCCTACAGCGTGTAGACTTCTCGCCAAAACGATACGGGACCTTTGCACGGAAACAACGAGTGCAAGGCATGTCGCTAGCAATCGATCGGGACTCCACGTATTTAATAAGCGCAGCTCTCTCACGATCTTTTATCATAGTCAAGTGCGACTTTGTCTTTCGAACGCGACCTGACATGGTGTCGGCATCATGAAAAACAAAGGAAGCAAATTTGTGGATCCCCAACCTGGGACCAACGACCTACCTATACTCAGGTCTCGAGGACAAGACCTTTAAGAGGGGAGCTGATGTTACGACCCGACAGTTAACAGACCACTGACGACGACCCCGCAGGGGCTTAGCGGTTATAGGGACGGCCGTTAGCCGTTACGTCGTAACAACCCCACGGAACGGAAGAACTAGGATACAGGTCACGTGACGATAAGCAGGACCGACGGACGATAAGCGGTCCTGGGACAGGACCGACGGTGCCAAGGGCGGTCCATGGCGATGGACCGACGTCCTGGGTGTCGGTCCCCCAGGATCAGGAAGTGTTCAGCATGGAACCAGACTTGTATATAGTTGGGACTCGAGTCCTCTCGAGTCCTACCTTTCCTAGTTCTTCAGCAATCAACTTCGTGATTACCCTAACCGGTACTTTCAGCTATACCTAAGTGACGACTACTCTACGACTCTTGTTGAGGCCTTGACTGATCACCAAGACCTTTGAAGATCTACGATCTATTCGACCAGGACCACGGAACGACTGTTACTACTCTCAATCCCTGGCTTACTGTTAACACAAACCTACTGTCAGTTAGCTGGCCGTAACATCTAGCTTCTTGTAGGCCTGTCTAGCGTGCTGGAGTTGCTTGTTGAGGTTTTCTATTGCTTGTCGGTTTTCGTTGACGATTTTCTGCATGTCTTTTGTCTCGGCTTCTTGTTTCTGGATTATGCGTCGGAGCTTATCGTAGCTTTCCTTGGTGAAAGAGCTATCTCTATCGGAGTCGTACTTGAGGTCCGGCATGTCGAAGTCCTCAGTGTTGGCGGGCTCCTGCGCGAGGCTCTGAGGCTGGTTGCGCGAAGAGGATGAGGATCCTGGAGTGGGTGATTTGGCAGAAGCGCGAGAAGACATCTTGTCTATACTGTTTAGTAGTTCTCAAAAGGTGACTTACTGAACAGGAGTAATCAAAGTGTTACGGCTAGCTAACTGACAGTGGGTTTGTGTTAACAGTAAGCCAGGGATTGAGAGTAGTAATAGTCGTTCCGTGGTCCTGGTCGAATAGATCGTAGATCTTCAAAGGTCTTGGTGATTAGTCAAGGCCTCAACAAGAGTCGTAGAGTAGTCGTCACTTAGGTATAGCTGAAAGTACCGGTTAGGGTAATTACGAAGTTGATTGCTGAAGAACTAGGAAAGGTAGGACTCGAGAGGACTCGAGTCCCAACTATATACAAGTCTGGTTCCATGCTGAACACTTCCTGATCCTGGGGGACCGACACCCAGGACGTCGGTCCATCGCCATGGACCGCCCTTGGCACCGTCGGTCCTGTCCCAGGACCGCTTATCGTCCGTCGGTCCTGCTTATCGTCACGTGACCTGTATCCTAGTTCTTCCGTTCCGTGGGGGTTGTTACGACGTAACGGCTGACGGCCGTCCCGAAAAACATCAACAACAGCGAGAACGAAATTTTTGAAAACAGCATCAAATTGATCAAACCACGCCCGCTCGCGCTCTCAGAGGTCACTTTGGGCATAATGTCATCCTCGGCATTGATTCTGCTCCCAAAGAGCCTGCTCGTGGCCGCGGGCGGGCTCTGACCACGAAAAATTCGAGAGCAAGCCACAAAGTATGACACGTCAATAGACAACACCATCGACACCACCGCGGTTGAGTCACGGGCTATCACGTGAGCACAACGACCAAGCCCAAACAAACATCAACACCACAGCCACCGATAGGTTATGGGTCGCCTATCACCCCCGACAAAGTTTGCAACGTCCCGCGACAACAACGACGACAAGCCCGACAGAACGGTATCACCTCCTGCATAGAGAAAGCACCAGACACCAGGCATGCTACGATCGATGCCACAAAATACTACAGTTTGCAGACAGATTGGTCCCCTGTCGCCCCCTCCGCGAAGAAGGATTGTCGCCCCTTCAACGTATGACAATGTCTGCGGAATCTGTGTACGAGCTCTCATACTTAGTAATCGGACGAATCGAAGCGGTTGGAGCATTGTGTTTTGCGGATTGAGTCCGACTCCAGGCGGTGGATGGAGGTGGTGGTCGAAAGATGGAAACATAGAGCCACATAGGAACCCAGCATGAGGCAACAAAAAGATTTACAGATTCAACTGAGATATAGCACATGCGAGTCTGAGAGGATGCGGACAAGATAAAGAGACGAAGCTGAGGGCTGGGGGGAGACTATAGGTATACAGAACCAGACATGGTGCCTAGCACCAACAGAACCGAAGTAGGAGGACGCGAAAGAAGGATTCTAGAAGGCAACACCAAGCGAGAGAGCAGGCAGGAGGACAACAATCTTCAACAGAGGGCATAAACACACAAGAATAGATAGCATAGTGGGAGCTTGGGGACAGCTGGTCCTGATCCAACAACAGGGCGAAGTGGGGCGTCGCGGTTTATCGTCGATGCTTCGGCTGTCTGCCAAACCCCGCTTTCCGGGCATAGCTGCTAGCATAAGAGCGGCTTCATAACCGTGTAGGAATCAATCAATCAATCAATCAATGACGGCCGTCCCTATAACCGCTGAGCCCCTGCGGGGTCGTCGTTAGTGGTCTGTTAACTGTCGGGTCGTAACAGAAGAGTCGAACCAACCTTATAGCTACCTTCTCTATAAGAATAACAATAGTAGCAACTACTATACCGACCGCTATATCCTACGGTCTCTCCGTTAATAGACCTCTAACTATACGAGTTAATAGACCGTATCGGAAAGTAATTAATAGAATTTGCAAAACTATACCCCGACGATATAAAATATAGCGGCGATATATACGATATACTCGAAAAGAAGATGCTAGTATTCGTAGATTACTATAGAATGCTAGGAATTTATACCTCTTAATATAACAAGGCACTTCCCCTAATACTGAAAGGAATAGCTAAAACCTACTTCTACGCCTCGATTAAAGTAATTAACCTATAGCCTAACTTCGAGACTATAATCAACTAATTAAAATCATACTTCGAGACTAGGGAAAGGCAATAAGCGTACGTTACGTAGTAGAATATAACTACTCTTCCCTAAATCATTCGCGATAACCCTAGAAAGACTAAATCGGAGTGTTTTAATATACTATGTAATAAATTAAGCAAGATTTAGCTTAGTTTACTATAATAGGATTATAACGACCGATCCCTCTATACCTAACTTCTATACGCTTGTAGAGATATTCTAGAGTATGTAATAGCGTTATTTATACCGGCTAAGACGTACGAGGGACTTCGTAGCTAATTAATCTCGTCGATCGAGATAGCTACCCGTCTTAACTAATAACAATTTAACATAGTAGCTAACCTACTAAAGTAGTACTAGACCGATAGAACTTTTAACGGTCGAGGGCGTTATTTACGATATAGTCGTTTATTACGAAGTCGATTATTACGAGGAAGAAGCCGTGACAGACCCTTATTACCGCTAACGCCTAAGAAGTGCTATATATATAAAAAACCTAACTACTAGTTAACTAAATATACTATAGAAGAGAGACGAAAAGCGTACGAGAAGTTTAAAACTACTTAATATGCCTAGGATACGTTACTTCTAGCATATAGCTAATTTCTCGTCTAATACGAGGGTTTCGACGGGTTAGACTTATAACCTACCGCCGAAGACCCCTAGCAATACTACTACGTAACCGAATAAACTAGTAAAAGTAACGAAGAGGAAGAGACTAGTAGCGATAGTTAATTCTAAGTTACTACCTATTTTACTATAATAGCAATTAACGGCAATAGGATCGCTACGATCCTAGTAGACTAGTTAACCTGCTATACTATTACGAAAGAAGACCTCTTCCGCAACTAACTAGAACCAAAAATGTTACGGGGTTTTAGCTAGGAATAGTTATAATAGTAATAAATATCGTATTTTTCCAAAGCTGATTCTTAATCCTCTAGATCAAGAGTCTAGAGCTAGAACCTATCTTTTATCTAGGTGTTATGCCTTGCTAGGTAAAATATGTATGTTAACCTTCTTAGTATAGCGCCCTATAGCGCTTCTAGTAGTATAGCGCCTTATAGCTCTTTGCCTTGTTACAACTGCCCCCCTATTGTGGTTGCTGTCCCTAGCAACTTGCGTGTAGAAAATATGGGTCCTCCTTTTTTTTTTTTTTTTTTTTTTTTTTTTTTTTTTAAGCAAGGCGTAGGGCTCTAGGTCGGGCTTAGTCAGGCTTTCGCTTAGAGTTCGGTATAGCTTAGTCAGGCTAGCCTTTCTCTAAAAAAACCTTTTCTTAGCGCTTTTATTTCCTCGTCGCCTACTTTATTTATTTACTTTTCTTTTCTATTAACATCCTTGCTATAGCGTTTACTTCTTCTATCGATTACGACTCGCGCATCATTTGCTAGCTTTTCTCTTTATCTTTAGTAGAATCGCCTTATTTTTCTCTTTCTCAAGATTGTCTTTATTTATTCTCTAGACGTTCGGTCGCGATTAGATAGCATAGCGCCTTAGAAACCCTAGACCTAGACGCCTTGCGAGAAAGGCGGAGTTCGTAGTAGCGGGATTAATAAGACCCCTACTCCTAGTAGCAAAAGAGGCAATTAGCATAGTCGGGCGTAGCGACTTCGTACCTTAAAGGCGGCGAAAACCTATCGCTATAATACCGCTCTTCGAGAGAAGCGTTAGCCTTCCCTAGGTAAAGATTAAGACTATGTTTTCGCTAATTTGATTACGACTAAAAAGTCTAAATCGAGTAAGTCTAGTAAGGAAGGCGATAGTAATAAGTCTAACGCTAGCGACTCGACCCCTAGTCCCCCGCCTACTGCTAGCCTTGCTTAACGCTCCCCTGCCCCCTCGTCTATAGCAGAGTCTAGCTTTAATAACGCCTTCCCTTCGCCCCCTCCTAGTAAGCGACTTCCCGACCCTTAGCTAGAAGGTAATAATACTACTTTTTAGCCTTGTCTCTATTATATTCGTACTATAGTAGAGGCATATAAATACGGTTGTAAAAGAGACGGAATAGTCTTCGATCCCGAGCAAGTCGCTATCCCTAAGTATTCTTTTACTTTGAAGGGATCTTCGCGTTATACGTAGTATAACTATCGCGGAGATATATATGCTATAGTAAGTAAAGCGTTTTCCTTCCTTATCCTTAGCGATTAGCTAACGTTTATCCCTATAAGCGCCGTCCCTTATATTTAGCAACTACTAAGACTGTCTCCTTTTATAAGGAGTTATTCGACGCTTGATATATTACGTTTAGGACGAGGATAATAGAGATATTTGCTAGTAAATCTCCTTTATTACGCGCGACTTATTTATTAGCTACGACGCCTTAGAAAGCGCTTACCGTAAGTATTATAGAATAACTACTTCTAAGCAGCCTAAACTTATATATATTCCTAATCGACTTATTTATAAGGTCTTTGCTAACGTTTAGTTAGGCGATTATTACGGCTTATAAGGCAATTATCGACTATCGCTGCTAGATATACGACGATTTTATAGCCTTTACTTGTAATAAAGGTCCCCCTTGCTATCTAGTAAGGACCTTGTTTTATTATGTTCTTTATTTATTTCTAACTTTCTTATCTAGCGAAGCGTAAGCGATTCTACTCCCGAGTCCTCCCTAGAGATATAGGCTTTATAGGTTAGCAATTAGCTAAAGAGATAGCTTACGAAGAACTTCTTCGCATCTTCTATGCCTAAGGCTATGCTATGCGATATAACTAGTAGGTAGTTTATCTTTTCAAGCTTTTCCGAAAGCGCGTTATTAAGCTTTCCTTTTACTAAGGTTCGGCTTTCCTATCCTTATTAGATAGTGATTATCTTATTTTTGCTTATTATTCGCCTTGTTTTCGTTTGGTTTGCTTAAGACTTTTTTTTTTTTTTTTTTTTTTTAGGAGGATCGTGGGTTTGGGAATGACTGCGGCGGATGGTCTTAT